CATTTCAATGTCTGTATAGAAAGTTATAACTTTTTGAAAATGGCACATGGCGAGTCAAACGCTACGCCGGCCATATTCAGTAAGTTGATATATTTTTGGCATGTGTTGCGATGATCTGTTCGATGATTGCGATGTGGAAAGCACCTTATTAACTTACGATTCTGTTACTTTCACGTTGATATTTACACGGAGTCCAAAGTTATTAAAGCACAAAGTTGGTTACTAAAAGTAGGTGAACCGGAAGTAGATAATTTGTGATCAGAGCAAAGGTGTTTTGTGTTGCTTGATTAATCGTTCATTGCTATTGCGATGGGGCATTCCGCAATTTGCGATGGGTAGTACACTTAGTAGTGTGCTCGAGTGGTGTAGTTGTGTTTTTATGGTTGCCGAAATGTAGCAAAATTCGATAAAAATATATTTTCATTCGATAAAATATATTTCCATTCGATAAAATATATTTTCATTCGATAAAATATATTTTCATTCGATAAAATATATTTTTCATTCGATAAAATATATTTTCATTCAATAAAAATATATTTTCATTCGATAAAAAAAATTCATTTGATAAAATCACGTGGTAACGTTAGGCCTGGTCGCATAGCTGAAACATGGCAAGGGATGAAGATGTAGCCCAGGACCGACATCTTGATCGTGGGAAGACTTTTTCTCAGCAGCAGTGTTGTTCAATAGTTCATGGACCAAGAGAACATGACTTTATCAGTTCTTTGAAGTGTTTCAGACGGTGTCGTAAACTATGCCGGGAGTGTACTGATCAGAGTTGCAATATAAACTTTGTAATCCACTTATATTGGTCAAATAGGATGGCTGAAATTGGACGGAGAAACCACAAGTATGGCCGATATGGGTCCACGTTCCATCGCTGTGAATGGAACAGGAAGGCCACTGTTTGTGTTATGACTGCTGCCCATTGGAGAGGCAGCGTGTTCGCGGGATCGTTTCGGTACATTCCGCCGAGCCCTGGAGTCCATGGCCCATGGCCTACTATATGGACTACCAATATGGACTATCAATAACCTGGGCCCAGAGGTTTTCTTTGTTGTCTTTCTGAAATAAGAAAGAAAACCTCTGGGACCAGGGTAGAATATAATTGGACTACCCTACTGACTACCCTATAAAATGAACTATCCTATGATTCTAACTCAAACAAAGTTGCAAATGATCAAACAAACCATAACACAAACAAATATAAGAGCGGACATGATTTAATTCACAGTCGAACCTCCATTAAACTGAAACCTCCAGTAAGTGGACACCAATGATTGCTGTCCCTACGATTTCTCTGCTAAAACACTATATTTATAAACTCACAGTAAGTAGAAACCTCCTGTAAGTGAAGCGGATACCTATTTTCAAGGTCTGATTAGCCAAGATAACCTCCCTTAAGCGGACAGTAGAAAGGATCAAGATTGAAATACATGATAAATTATTGTTGCCTTTACTGTCGATTTGTTTTTTTCAGTATTATTAAAATAGGGGGTCCCATGAAACATAAAAGAAATTACACTTTACTGTAGTCGTTCATAATTAATCCATCAATACACATCAAAATTCTACGGAAGCAGTCACCATTTTTTCCTCAGACCGCTTCACATGAGTGGAAATGTATCAAAATATAAATTTGTTTGGAACAATTATTTGAAAAAAAGAATAACCTCTTGAAGATCTCACTGCCATAGAGTTTATGGGAACTCGGGAAAAGTTTGGGAGAGTCAGTTCAAAACTGTTGTGCTTTGTGTTTTGTATACGTATGTTCCGTAGTCAGGGTGTAGTGTCCGTCAGTCGGTGCAGCTGCGCAGGTTTTTTCGCAGGAAGCTACACTCCCCTGCTCAAGACGTTCACGCCTGCAGATTGCGTGACATTCCCAAAGAGCGTATGCGTAGGAGGCTAAAGTAGAGTGGTTCTCCTTCCAATTTCAGCCATCCTATTCCACCAATATAAGTGGATTACAAAGTTTATATTGCAACTCTGATCAGTACACTCCCGGCATAGTTTACTACACCGTCTGAAAACACTTCAAAGAACTGATAAAGTCATGTTCTCTTGGTCATGAACTGATTGAACAACACTGCTGCTGAGAAAAAGTCTTACCACGATCAAGATGTCGGTCTGGGCTACATCTTCATCCCTCGCCATGTTTCAGCTATGCGACCAGGCCTAGCGTTACCACGTGATTTTATCGAATGAATTTTTGTATCGAATGAAAATATATTTTATCGAATGGAAATATATTTTATCGAATGAAAATATATTTCTATCGAATGGAAATATATTTTATCGAATGAAAATATATTTTATCGAATGGAAATATATTTATCGAATGAAAATATATTTTATCGAATGGAAATATATTTTATCGAATGAAAATATATTTTTATCGAATTTTGCTACATTTCGGCAACCATAGTGTTTCATTTCAATGTCTATAAAGAAAGTTATAACTTTTTGAAAATGGGACATGGGAGGGTCAAAAGATGCGCCTTCCATATTTTGGTAAGCTGGTTTACATTAATCATGTGTTGGCGATGCGCGAGAGATATATTGCGATGGCTACAGTACCCAATGAACTATCACACCTGGAAAGAACCGCATTTTTGATTCAATATTCTCGAAGTTATAACGGTACAAACTTCGCACTCTTGCACAAGGAAGATAACGTGGACAGCAATTGTTATTTTCAGCAAGACTTCAAAATATATTTTGATATCTTTTAATCTAGCGCTTTATTTGTTGTTTCTATACTAGGCAACAGTTCGACAATTCATGTTTTATAGATATTTTTAATAGTTAGTACCCAAGAAATGTTGTAAAGATGCCAAATTAGGAAATCGGTAACCAGTAACTGAAATTCTGAAATCGGTAACCGGTAACCGGTAACCGGTAACCAGATTATAATTGGTAAATAAAGCTTCGCGAAATTTGGGTTTGTCAATTTCGCAAAATTAAGTACGAACGTAAACAGTTAGTGAGAATAAGGTTACGACCGATCGCGATTGTTACTATTTGAGACCTTAGCGAAGATTGTCGGGGTTGTATGCGGCAGCTTGTTGTTTCGATAAAACCAAATTTAATTTTGTTCTGATATTCAAAAATATATCATTGAAAACAAAACAAACAAAACAAACGAAACAAAACAATGAACATCCTTGCTTGGCCATTATAAAGATAAATAATTAATTAACCACCATAAATTCATGGCGGAAAAGCCGCCTCTTTGTTTGCAATTGGACTTTTAAGTCCGATAACGTTTGTGACCACTATCTTCTGATCCAAATGTTTCATTATAGTCATTATACGCTGGTGCTATAATTCTATTTTATAGTTTGAAAGAATGAAACCACAAGTCGATCGAGAAAAATATCGAGAAAATTATATTTTGTTATTAGTTGTCTTGCACAATTTTCTTCAAGCGAAGCGTTATCATAGCGTCCTGTTTGGTTTTTACGCCTCGCAATTTGCAAGCCGATAACACGAGAAAACTCTTTGCACGGCATTGAGCACTGACGATACGACAAGTGGCCCACCACTTGCCTCGTACCCAGACGTCTCTCTTATTTTTGCGAAGAAATGGGCGCACAAAGGTAGGCGGACTGGGGGCTCTCGTCTTTCTCCTTCCGCCATTATCCTTCATGGGTGAAGAGAGACACTGTGAAAGTAAAGTGGTTTGGCCAAGAACATAACACAGTGACACTGGCTGGCCCTCGAACCCGGACCGCTTCATCCGGAGTGCAACGCACTAACTATTATCTTATGCCATCACGTCTCTCACATACACCTGGGGATGTGAAAGCCTTTAATTGGCCTATCTACAACTGAGCGCGCCCGAGAGAAAAGGCTTTGGTATACCTTAGAGTAATTTTTTATCGTTTTAAGCAGGTTGCGTCGCCTTGTGGGATAATTAAAACAACTTGAAATTTTTATCGAAATTTAATAAGCTTTCGATATAGAAACTGAGTTGTCCGCTTTGTCGTAATTTTCTTTAAAATTATGTGCTCCTATTTCATTCAGCCGGAGTGCAGATGACTATTTAAGAAAAACCCGGCAACGGCGACGAGAACATCGCTAAACAAAAGGTTTAATTAATTAGCAGTACAATTGATCTGCACGGTGAGTTTTTCGTCTTGGTACATTTCTTAACCGCCCTCTGCAAAACGTGAAATGACTTGATTCTGCGTTTTCTGGTGAACGAGAACCGCAACGGTGATTCGTCGAGTTTCTATTTGGAATTGATCACAGTCTTTATATATTCAGCTGAAGATACTGATACCAATAGACAAACTGAATAGGTCCAGATTATCACGAGATTCTCCATTAAAATATAAGCTATTATTTCGTTGTTTCAGTTATGGCCCAAACATTCAAGTCAAGAGATCCGTCAATCTGCGAGTTACCAAAAGAAGTGGGCGAATGCAGGGGCGCGTTTCCTAAATTCTACTATAATAAAGAGACTGGAGAATGCGAGAACTTCATTTATGGAGGATGCGACGGCAATCAAAATAACTTTGATACAAAAGAGGAGTGCGAGAGGAAATGCAAATCAGGTTATAGCCGTTAGGTGAGTCAACGAGCAGTGAGGAACCCAAACCCTATTCTGCCCAGTGGGCTATTTCGGAGTTCGTGGGACTAACTTTTCATTACAACATTAAAATCTCATTTAAACCGATAATTAAACAAAAAACAAAACAAATTTGGGTCGAACGGCCTGGCCTGTCAAAACATGGTTGCCATGGAAACGTCATTAAGGCATAATCATGATCATGATCATGATAATTAATATGATTTATGGTGGTGTTTTGAGTACTAAAATTGCAAAGTCTCAGCAAGTGACCATTTGCCTGTGCAGTGTGTACCAAGAAATATGTTTCGCGCTTCTCATCCGGGTTCCCTATTTCGCGGGAGTTCCCGGATAACGGGGGAGTTGCATGTGAGCGCGAGATTTGTAAACTAAAACTCAAACAATTGACCTGCTCCCAACGTGTGGCTTCCGTAGCTCAGTTGGTAGAGTAAAACTAGTAAAACGCGGAGGTCATGGGTTCAAATCCCGTTAAAGCTATAATTTTTTTCTGGCTTAAAAATTGCAATTGAGTCAATTGCTTAAATTGCATTCACAACTGCGATGATCATATATTCATTTCATTCCATTTCCGCAGTTCATATATATATGATTTCATTCATATATTCATCATCACATAAAACTCAAACAGTTCCAATGTTTTATTTTCTCCTTTCAGACACAGATTTATGACAAGCAGTGCCAGCATCCAAGACAGTACAGCAGAAAGAAACTCCGTTTACTTGTGCATTAAACTTGTAACAAGTCTAAGCTGTTAAACAATAACAAAATAAAGGGCTTTCTGCGCGGATTTATTTATCTTTGTGGTCATTCTTTTTTAGACCTATCTGTGAACTACTTCGTCAAAAGTTTGTCAAATTTCAATTGATCTATCCTACAATCCCTGTTAATTAGTTTATGTTAGATTTGTTTTTAGAAGATGGCACGGAATTCGTTCCAGCCATAACGCCACACAATGTAAATTTCCCAGCTCTCAACACCTTGATGGTTAGCACGTGACTTCCAGAGGTCACGTGGTGCGCAACGGTCGTCAGTCGCGTGTGTCCAAATGGAGAATACGCATCCACTACGATTCCAAGTTTGTATTTCTCCAGCCAAACCCCGGCTTTTCCACCATAGCCGTTTGTACGGATCACTATGACAACGGCTCTGGTTACATTGTCGCTCAAAAGCCCACCAAAAGGTAAATCAATTTGTAGTTTTAATATGGAATTTTCTTTCTCTGCTTCCCATCCGCCATACCCATCAGTTCTTGAAGGTTCGGGATTAACTGCTCCTGAAGTGATTCTATGAAAGCCGATAGACACGTTTTTAACTTGTTTAAATCCTATATTTTCGATTTCTCTGACAGAAAGCGATGGATTAAAGAACTTGCTAGTTACATCTGGAGTGATAAGTGTATAACAGAGAGGGTCTGGAATAACTCCCTGGTCGTCCATGAAATAAACAGATCTCGGTAAGTTGTGTGAAGGTAAATGATGAAAACCTTGTTTTGAACTTTCTATGGATCGCCGCAGAGCATCACGGACGCTGTTAATAATCATCATTGGAATTTGCGCGTGTGCAATAACGCTGGGGTGATTGACATCTGAGGAAAACATCGCAGGGAATTTTTTATTTCCGGTATTTGGACATAATGAATCGCGCATGCTGAAGCTTGTAATCCCATAATGCCAGGCAAAACATGTATGGTTTGTCCGTTGTTTTCCAGATTATCACACAAAGCAACATTTTGTTGGTTTCCTTGAATAAAGTTTACAAACATGACAGCCTGTGAAATGTCTTCACTCAAGAGTTGTCTTGTAAGTTTTTCTAGAGACATTGCCCATGGAGGATGAGAGTTTTTAAAAAGTATGTAGTCGTTAATTGAAAACTCAAGGAATATAAGGTCCATGCTGTCTTGAGGTTTCATGAAAGTTTTGTAACAAAACGAGAAAAAGTTGCTACTAGTTCCCCCAACAGCGAGATTACGAAGCTCAATGCTCGATCCTGTGAAAGGCTGCATGGTCTTTTGCCACCAATCGATAAACACTCGGTAATAGATACCTCTTAGATCGGAGTAATCGTTAATTAATCCGCCGCCAGCCGATATTGATCCACCCATGACCGTAACTCCAATGTTTTTGACCGAGTCAGTAAAGCTTTCTTCATAACATTTTGAAGACGATCTTTCGTTGTTGTTCGTTCGACAAGCTCGTTATTATAGATTTTTGGCGTCAGTGACATATCTTCCAAGGACTTGAACTTGTCTTTGAAATACCACACTTCGAACGGGTTCCTTTCAAGCGAGCGTTTAAGAGCATCGAGGTTACTAGGATTCTCGAATAGCTTTTCGATCCTTGCTGGTCTTTGATCATCTTGTGCCAAAGTTAAAAACATAATGGTGGAGATGATGGTAATTAGATGGTACATTTTCGGCTTTCAGGGTCTTCTGAACCCTAGTTTAAGCTACATGCTGGAAGAAAAAGATGACAAGTGGTGTTCTGAAAAAATGAACTTACATTTATAGGTGATTAGCTATTGCAATTGTCACGTGAGGAACCTCAAAGACCCATACCAAAGTAGTAAGGTAACGAACTCAGTGTAATTTCCTCTCTTCTGAGCTGATAGATAACTATAAGGAAGTCACATAACGATGATTTTCAGAGAAATCAACTTTAATCATAGTTTGTACTGTTTTTCTTTCGTTTGAATAGCACCAAAACCTCCGTTCTGGTTCCAATTGATTTTCCTGTGCAATAGAATGTAGTAATCACTGGTACTAATTGTAAAGTATAAAGATGTTTACCTTTGGTAAAGATTTGAAAAGAACACCTGCTAAGATTAGCAAATATAATACATAGGTCGTTCTATTCACGATCGAGTAAAATGGATTTTACAATTCAATGATCATGATGATTTTAAACTTGATTACCTTGATTGTACCTCGGATTAACTTCAGCAGTTTCAAGCTAACCAGCTCGAGATTTCTACGATACGAGAGTTGATGAGGCCGCAGATCAAATCAACTGTCACCAAGAGAGGATATCCTCTCTTGTATCATGTGAATGGGACCTCTAGTTATTGATATATCCTTTTATAAAAACACCACTTTTTTTAACAGTTGGGGTCCCAGAACTTGGTTACTATGGCAACAACATGTTAAACAAAAATTGTCAAGAGTATCAGTTTAAGATGATCTCTCCAATGGTGTAATCGTCGTTTGAGTTTATCCACTTGGTTGAACTGAAGGTTGCGTTGGGTGAACTCTTTGAGCTATGTTTTCGTGTTTCACTTACGATCGCTCGACTTCGAGCGATAAATTCACGATTGTGGAAAAGATAATTAGTTTGCTAAAAAAGATATGTGAAAGAAGAGTCTCTCTCGGAATTGTTTTCAAGGTAAAAATCTTATCTGTTCCGTGACGGCCTTATCCCAGCGAAATGAAAACAAATTCCGGGAATTTTGAATTGCCGCCATTATGTTTGTATGGAAATGAGTGAGCAGGTTGGCGCACGCGCAGTCATTTTGCCGCTGTGTTGCGTTGGGTAGTGATCTGCGCGCAAACGCAGTCTAATTTTAAGTCCTCAGACTTAGAAACCAGGCTTTACTTAGCTCAGGGCTCGTTGAACGATTCCGGAGGTCTGGCGATAGTAAACGAAACGTTGTAATAGCGTGATCTAATAAACATTCGAAATTTGATCCGTACACAAAGCTGACATAATGGAGGCTTAAACGTAACAGTTGACCCGTTCATAGCCTGATCGCGCGAAGCCTGCTCGCAGGCTAACCCGTTCATAATCTCACAAAATAATTTTAAAGGTCAGAACCCTGTCATATCATAGAAGATTCAAGATCGCAAGTGTCGGATTTTGCTTTTTTGGTTTTCAATATGGTGACATACAAACATGTTGGCTTGAACAAGATAGTCCCTTCGCAACACAGTATTCTCAAACTTGGTGCTACTTTTTTATGTTCTCCTAATGAGCACTAGGCCTATGTATGCACTGCGGATCTATTCAGTTTGTTTCACCAAAATTATCTGATTATTTGTTTCGCTTGTGGATAAAAACGTTGCCATTAGTTACACAATGACGGTTTGTTGAGTAAGCAATTAAATTAAATGTTTAATAAAACTTCACCCTTGGGTATCAACATCCCGATCAGTTAGTCTTTCACAAACTGCTATTTGCGGTTTTCATTGCTCCGGGGGATAATTAATCAACTCGACAATTTGAAACTTTTCCAATCCAACCGCACACAATGATCGCTTAATAAAAAGGGTCAAAACTGCGACATTATCAAACAACCAGATCCTTCTAGAAGGCCTAAAGAATTCAGACTGAGTCGGTCGAAGAATAGCCTGCGCGAACGCAGACGTAATTTCCGGCTGCTCTCGCAGGCTAGTCAAGAAATGTGATATACAAAGTGAATTATGGTCAATTATGACTATTGCCATTATCTTTTACAAAAGCTATGCTTTAACATTGTTGGATACATGGCCATACAGGCTTTTACAACAGTCACGTCCGTAAACAGATCAGACAGACTATACGTGTTTTTTGTTACATGTTGCTATTCGATTATTATAATTAATATACAAGTAGAAAATTACGATAGGAGTAAATGTTCAGTCATCAAACAGTATTTTCTAGAATAAACATAACTTTGGAATCTTATTGTTTTGTGCTTGAACGAAGACTAAAACATACTAAAACGACAATCCGCATGGCTTTTGATTTGCTTGCTACAAGATAAGTAAAGTCAAGGAAAACTTTTGATGAAAGTTGAACTTTCAACATGCACAAGTTAACAATGGAGATTTAGTATCTAAGTATTACAAAATCCGTATCCATTTACATAAGAAATTGATCTTAATTCTGTCGATTTTTACGGGTATTAGGACATCACGAGATCCTTCAAAAATTAAACATCTTTAAACCATACGATTATCTTTTAGCGTGCAAAGTCATTATAATAAAGAGAATTGTGTCAGAGCGATCGATCGAAGCATATCAACTCTTTTTTGTCTCAAAGTTCTTCCAGCCATAGCCATCGTTCTTTTTTCAATTTCATCGCATATGGCATTACGGCGTCTCATTAAAGACGGGCTTGGGAGACAAGGCTTCACATCATCACTCACCAGTGCCACAATCCGTGGATAACTGCATCGCTCGCAAGATCCAGTTTTACATTTAGCATCGTTTGTGTTTCGTGTGTTTGCAAAACCATTTTCTGTCACCGAGCTTGTTCTTCGCGTGCGATTAAAATCTTGTGCCATCGAGCTCCAACCATTCGAAGCTTGGTTGAAATCGAAGATTTGAGTCTGTTCCGAGATTTCGGAATTGCTGTCCGAGATTAGAAGCCATCTTGTGTCATCACATAGGCTCTTCCTATTCATGAAGTTCCTACGGCTCAAAAGCCGGCCTTTCAATCTGACGTTCATGTTCTTTAAAATAATAACTTAAGAACCACTGAATTGTAAAATTCAATTCGAAAAT